GCCTGGAGCTTTTATGGCCTTTCAGAGTTGAGCTCGAAGGTTGGCAGGCCTCGACCTCTTTGCATGCTATTTCCCTGAGAAATGATGCCATCAGAAAAAAGGAGCGTGGGGCCTAATTTTGCTCCAGGGGAAGGCCGTGTATGACAGGATGATTCTTGTTTGTGCCTTGCCAGATCTGCTCAGATCCTGGTAGCTCTGACCATCTGGAGAGTTCCCAGCTGCAGCCCAGTGTTTTTGGCACTGGACAGGATCACGTAAACTCCTGAGTGTCCCAGTACCTGCAGAAAACCTGCTATAACTTGTAAGTAACATATTAGACTCTGCCACTGTAGTAAGCAGTGGACACTTTCTCTTATCAGAGGTGACTCATCACTTAACCAAAAAGAGTTGCTGTTTATATTTTTCCTCCCCTTTCCTGAAAGTTCGTCAACAGGAAGGCACAAACTGGGCAATGAGAAGGGACTGATTTGAACCAGCACATAAAAGGAAGGACACTTCAAACTACATCTTTGAGGACCCAATTTTCAAGGAGGAAACCAGGGAGGAAGAATGTCTGCTTTTCCACGATATCTGTGGTCTGGAGGAGGGAGATCATGCTGCCTTTTGGGTCACATTGTGCCCTGCCAACAGTGTGAACTTACCTGCCTCCAGGAGTGGTTCAGTGATCAGTGCTGTCACATGAAATTCCCGCATGTGTTGTGGTCCTTAAAACACCAGGGTAAAACCAGCAAATCATTACTTTCATCTGTTTGTTTATTTGCTTAATTAAAATAACCAGAAGTGCAACAGTTTTGATAGGCAGCAAGAGAGGAGGAGACAGCGACTGCAGGTAGAAGGGGAAAAATAAGGAATCCTCCTGCTCCATGAATTTGCACCATTCGTTCCTAGCTTTGCTCCTTATCTCTGGGGCATAGCCTAAGGGTGTACATCTGCTGTGGGCTTTGCTGCACGTTACAACCTAGGCTAAATATAGACTTTTGTCCTTTGACAAAAGCTTGAGCTTTTGGAGGACAGCATCCTCCAATGATTTCTAATCTGGGTGCTAAAAATCAAGCACCAGCACCTACCCTTCAAGACTGGAGTAGGAGCCTCACTACGGACTACGGAGAAACAGTTGAAAGTCCAGGAAAGCCACAGGTGAGAAGCCCCTGTAGGATGCTCATGAAGGAGATAGATTGCAGCTGGATCCTTCAGCAAGCAGCTAAGCATGGATCATCTGAATTTCAAACTGCATAAGTATATTTTTTTCATAATTATTCATTCTTTTTCACATGTTTCATAGAATCATAGAATGCTTAGGGTTGGAAGGGACCTCTAGAGATCATCTAGTCCAACCCCCCTGCACACGCAGGGTCACCTAAAGCACGTGGCACAGGACTGCATCCAAGCGGGTTTTGAAGATCTCCAGAGAAGGAGACTCCACAACCTCTCTGGGCAGCCTGTTCCAGGGCTCTGTCACCCTCACTGTTTAAATGCTTCTTTCGCACTGAGGTGGGGAGGAAGTATAAGAAGTGTTTTAATTGTGTCTGGGGGTGAGCAGCAATCTCCTTCAATTTCTCTTATTGGAGAAAGACCAATAAGGCCAAGACTCTTCCATCAAGCAGTGAAAAATCCATCATTTTAGAAAAAAAAAAAAAGGAGGTGGAAAAAAAGAAAAAAAGAAAGAACTCGAGCCTGTCCCATTGCTGGTGAGCAGGATATGCAAATGTCCGTGTCCTTCTTTCAGGCCAGCCAACGGTGGCATTTTCATAGAGCTTTCCCACCAGAAGTAGGATTTGTTGGCGAAAATGATGAGGCCCTGTGAAAAACCCCTTAGCTGTGCATCCATCTGCATGCTTTGTTATCTCTCAGCATGCAAAAGAGCTGTAAGAGAAGGTTTCAGCAAATCCTTTCCACCCTGCTGGCTCTGCTGAGGGCCAGCAGCTGATGGTGGCCTGGGCAAGCCCCGAGCAGCAGCCGTTCCATGAGCCACCGTGTTGCTGGATCCATCCATGTGAAGTCCCTCCACCTGTGCTTGCAGGCGAGGCAGATGCACACTGGGTTAGACGTGTATCTCTGTGGGAAGAACAGGCTTCCAGGACACAAGTTTCTTGATCCGTTGGTGCCCTTGTGTTGCTTTGTGGCCCCCTGTGCTTTTTGCAGGCGCAGTCAAGGCTGAGAGCGATGGATGGCTGATGGTGCCTCTGCCCCTCTAGTCCAGGCTCCAGGTGGTGGATCAAGCAGGACACAGCATCCCCACAGGCACCATGGGAGCTGGGGCTACCTGGCTGAGGGAGCAGGTGCCAACAGTGCGCGTGGACTTGTAGCCAACACATCCTGAAAAATAGCCAGTTGCTGGTAACCTGCCTCCCTAGCGTGAACCCTGGAGTTTTTGCTAATCTCAGATTTACGTTCATGTGCATCCCCGCAACTGCGTCTATGCAGATTTCCTGGGGCCCTGCATTTCTAGATCGCTTATCAGCGCTGAGTCTAAGCATCTGTGCCCAAAACACGATGAAAGTCGCCAGAGGAGATAGAACAGGCTCTGGGTGAATTGCCTCCCTTCTGCACAGTGAATAATCAGATCCCTGGCTCTGAGCTCTGTGACGCTGCCCTAACTATTTTGCTCTGTGGTTTGTGGATGCTCGGGGAGTGCTGCAGAGCGAGAGTTATTCTTTTCAAACACTTCACATCCACGCTCTGGCAGCCAGGCAATCCCCTCGGGGCGAAGTCCTAACGTGCCCTAAGCCTGCAGCAGTCTCTCTATCAGCCTCATTACGGCCCTGATTTCACTGCTGGCTTTGGGGAAAACAGGAGTGCTTTTAAAGTGTGCTTTTCGGAGTCGAAGTCAGGTAAACTGCATTCCATGAGTGTGCCCAGAGGAATGATCAAAGGCAATGATGAGGCATGAGCAGAGAGGATGATCCAAGGTAGAAAAAGCAGAAAAGCAGGAGATGTTTTTGGTAGTTTAATAGTCTGTTCATGTGGATAAAATTAAAATGAGAAAATAGGACGAGCAAAGCTGGGCCTAGCCTGACGCTCAGGACACAAACCTTCCTTTCTTGCCTTTTATTTGGCTGCTTGCAGGGTGCCTGGCTGTGACAATAGGACTCAGCACTGAGCACTGTGGAAATGTGTGTTATCTAAAGGGACAGTCATGGCCTCCATGTGTCTGGGATTCATGCACCTGGAGAAGGTATTATTCCCCTTTATTTTACAACTCTTTTCGCTTCCTAGTATTTCTGTGAAAACAGCTTGGCGAGGCCCCAGAGAGGAAGTGGGAGGAAGGAATTCTGTGGTCATATCAGGGGCTTCATCCTAAAGCTGAGGGGTGGGAGATCCGGGGGGCCGCTGTTTGACTTGGTGATGGGTGAGAGGAGGTGGCTGCCAGGCCTCAGTGGATCAGGGCTGAAGCACTGAAGAGAAATCCGAGAGGGTCACCAGTACCTCCCCACCATCCTCCTGGAGCTGGGGTTGTGTCCCCTGAAGATACGGAGCATCTTCCTTCCCAAAGGAAGGAAGCTCAGAGCGCCTTGCTCTCCATTTCCACCTGAAAAGTGCAGCTAGTGTCTCATGTTTCAAGTTGACTTTATTAATATTTATAGTCTAAAGAGCATTTCTGCAAGGGGCCATTAATGTACAAGCTTGCATTGACATCTCTGAAATTTTATGTATGTCTGATATCAAAACATGTGGGTTGTTAGATGACAGGATGACCTTGCAGAGATACATTGCATGCATTGCTCACTTAATGCCTTTCCTAGGACACGGGCACAGCAACTTGCTAGTGCTGTTTGATTTGCTTATTCATGTATTCATGTCCCAGAGCTACTGCCTTTTAAGATTTTGCTTCTGTATCTAACCCAGTAAATGCCCCACTGGTTTTCTGTGCACGGAGCATGATGGATCTGCAAAGGCACCCTACAGTGATGTGGTCTCTCACAGATTTATCACTATACAGTGCCAGATCATGCCCCATAGCTATGTTTGCTCCTCATTTCCCACATGGGGCCATATGGCCATGCTGTCTTACCCCTTGTCTCCTACTCAGCACAGGCTCTGGCTGCTCAGAAGCTCTTGGGAACTGGAGGCAGTTTCCCCTATGCACCCCCTGTGTGGCTTTTTCCCATCCCCTCTTGCCAACATTGGGCTCACTACCTCCATCCCTCTCCCCTGCAATCTCGAGACGGCTTCAAGAGCCCCAGGAGGACCAAGCCAAAGCTTTTTAGGGCAAGCCCATCTCCACGTGTGCTCAGCTGGGCTTGGAGCCAGAGCTGCTAGGAAAGGCTGCTGCTTCTGCATCTCTCCCCTCCCCAGCATCTCCAGGATGTGAACACTCAGAGGTGCCCTCTGCAACGTTTTAAAGGTGGAAAGGTTATTCCTCCTTCACCACCTGGTTCTCACCTGTCATTTGAACATCAAAATAATTTAGCTGCAGTAAAGGCAAGAAGAGTCATTTTTAGCTCTTTCTTCTACACGCCAAGAGTTGAAGGTCAGGTCATGCATAAAAGGGGACAATATTTTTCTTTACGTTTTCAGGAAAGGCTCAGGCTTGGTTTATCGTCCCAGAATTGCAGCAGCAGGCACCCCGCTCTGCTTGTGCACGAGCGCGTTGCTGTCGCAAAGCTCCCCTAGGTTTATCACGGCAGCGCGCGGAGGTGGGCGACTCGATGCCAGCGCCTCTGGCTTCAGCTGCCATGTAAATCACCAGTGGCATTTTACAGGAGATGTTTGTCTGAGAGGAGATGTTTGTGCTTAGGGTCATGTCTATTTTTGCTACTACGCCATGTATTTTTAAATTGGGTTTGAACAGCATACAATGCCCGCAGCACAGCTCCTTTCAGATCATCTGTCATGTCAGAAAATGGTTTTGAATGTCTGTCTGCTCATTTCAAGCTAAATATTTATTCTGTAATTAGATTGTTTTGTTTCAAATCCTTCTTTTATTTACAAATGAGAAGTCAGTATTAGGCTGCGTGAGCGTGATGGGAATGCACAGCTAGAGAGCAAAATGATCCTACAAAACTGGTGCGTGTGTGCTCAGCCTTCACAAAAGAGCCCTCCTTTTTCCCTTTTGGGTCTATCGTTGTAGAAATCTGTTCTGTTCATTGCTAAGCCAGGACATGGCAGGGGTATTGCAGCTGTGTGCATGGAGGTGAGGAGAAGGCCCTCAGCCCTCCCCTGGCAGAGCTCATGGTTGCAGCTAGGCCCTTGTCCTGCAGACCATTGGCAGGATCCAGCCCTGCAGAAACATCAACTCTTGGTCAGAGCATGCTGTCTGCATCAACATCCAAAGGGGTAAGAAATGTGTCTCACTGCCTGGGCTGTTGTACAGCCCCTTGCCCTGCTGGTTGGGTGCATCTTTATAGCACAGGGCCGTGGTCCACGGCATGGCCTGTGTTTTCCACTCCGATATAAAAATGATGGAGGTCCGGAGCAAATATGTTTTGTGTGTTTCTGCTTCAGGATTACTTAAAATCTTGTAATGCCAGAGAAGAAGGGAGGCTGACAAGGCATGCACACGTGGACAAAAATAGAAAGGAAGGAACAAGTCTAATACTTTGCTGAGGCACTTGAAAAGCATTTGCTGCTGTTGTAATTTCACTCCTGAGTAGAGATGGCTAAAAAACAAGGCTTCTGGTTCACTGGTGATTTCATAGGAAAAAAAAAAGAAGAAGAAGAAGAAGAAGAAAATGTTGGTGTCAATCTCACTCAGCCTGAAAATATTTATTTTAGGATTCCAGCAAGCCAGAACCCCATGACCCTTTGATTGCTCCCTCAAATAAAGTTTTTTTTTCCAGTTTTTGCTGTGAATAGCTAGACAAAGGCAACTCATTTCATGGAGCAGCTCCAAGCAGCTCCCTGGACTGACTGCAGGGCAGAGCTTGCTGCTGTGGGACTGTGAACCTCTTGGTTTGCCCTGAGCAGATTCCCCCCTCTCCTTCCTCCCAGGTCTAGCACCAGCCAGAAGAGGATGATTTCTGCCAAGATTTCTCCTAGGAATCTATGGCATCAGAGGTCTGTTCTGTTTAATTTTGCTGTTAGATGAAAATATTAAAAAAAAACTTGCTCTCAGCTCACTCTAAGATAAGTCTTCATCTAAACCTTAACATCCTCCTAAACATGGAGATCCAGGTCTTACATGAAGGCAGTGCTCTGCTGGGGGCAACATGTCTTGCTGAAGAACTCCACATTGCAGCAGCATCTCTGCCAGTCCGATTCCTCTCTGCCGTCGCTGCAGGCTGTGTGAATAAGTTGTCTCTTGTTGGTTGAGCTGCAGCCTCCCTTGACCATAAGGGAGTGTGGGAACCTGCCCTAGGGAACTGGGGTTCTCAGCAATGTATGCAAAGAGTTGTGCTCCACGTTTCAAATACGCTGTCCGACGGAGAACAGTCCATGCAAACAGAGCAGGGGATGCTTGTGTGCTCACAAGGGTAGGGAATGTATGAGAATTGTGGTTATGTGGATAACAAATGCAAGGAAATAAGGTAAGCCAGGAGAATAAATATCTAAATATAAACCTAAAATATTATTTCAAAGGGCACAATAGGCAGCTAAATTGCCAGAAAAAAGGGTCTTAACTTTGAGGATTAAATGTCAAAAGGAGATTTTTGAAAGCACTTTCAAATGAGAGCTTCCACATGAACCTGAATTCACTGCCAAGGGAAGTCTGTCCAGAGCACAACCCTTCTTTTTACTATTTCTGTCTTAATCTATATGAAGTAATTGTATATTATTAAAATATCACAATCAACATAAGATAACTTTGTATTAACAGTAGATACTTTATTTTTTCTTATCCTGAATAAGAAACAAACATATCCACTGGCTGTTTTGTAAATAAGTTTGCCTTTTCGCCCTTGCCAAGGAGCGCCTTGGCCCTCCTCTTTCTTCTTCATCTTTTCACCCTTGCTGGCTTCTGGTTATGTTATTTTCTGACAGCATATCTAAAGCCAAGTTAAAATATGCTGCCTACAATAGTTAGCCATAGGTGCTGAGCTGCTACATACGCTTACTGTATTTGCTCAGCTTACCCTATATGACTGGATTATGCTGTGTAAGATGCTCAGACCGACTTCAGGAGTTGGGATCATCGTTGGCTCGCCTACCATCTGCATCAAGAAGTTATCTGCAATGTTCTGCAGGAACCTCCTGGACTGTCGGTTCCTAGCTGTGTGGTTACCCCAGCTGACATCAGGGTGGTTGAAGTTCACTGTAAGGACCAGGACCTGGGATCGTAAGGCTTCTTGCAGCTGCCTGTAGAAGGCCTCATCCACTCCCTCTTCTTGGTCAGGAGGCCTGTAGTAAACACCACAGTGTCACCCCTGTTGCCCTGCCCTTTAATCCTCACCCACAGGCTCTTGACCCACGGTTTGTCCTCCCCTCTGCTGAGCTCCACGCAGTCCAGTTGCTCTCTCACGTAAAGAGCAGCTCCATCACCTTGCCTTCGTGGCCTGTCCTTCCTGAAAAGCCTAAAGCCGTCCATGACCACGTTCCAGTCATGAGAGCTGTCTCGTCATGTCTCACTAATTGTGGTGAGATCGTGGCCCTGCAACTGCACATGAATCTCCAGTTCCCCTTGTTTATTCCCCACGCTGTGTGTGTTTACATACAGACATTTGAGTCGGGCTCCCAGTGTGTCTGTCTTTCTAGCTGGGATGCCTGTTACTGCTCTATATGGGCCTTCAATAGCTCTCCTGTTTTGCTATTTTCCCTCTCCAGGCTCTGGGCATCCTTTGCTGGTTCTGGTACTAAACTGGTACAAATGGCATGGTAGGTTGTCCCACACCTTATCACCAGCATCCCTGATGATATCCCCCTCTCCCATTCAATCTAGTTTGAAGCCTTATCAGTGAGCCCTGATAGCTCGTGACCAAGGACCCTCTTAACCCTTTGGGAAAGATGAATCCCATCTGATATCAGCATGCCTGGTGCCATGTAAGGCTTCCTGTTGGTGAAGAACCCCAAATTTTGGTGATGACACCAGCCTCGGAGCCACGTGTTTTCTGGAGTTTTCTGGAATTTGCTCTGCATGGTCCTGCAGAAGCTTAGGAGCACTCCCCACTGGTAGTCATCAGCTTTTTTGGGAAAATGGATTAAGAATGCCATGTCACGATAGAGACTATTTTACACCTGTGATGTCCTGGCTGAGCCCAGCTCCTAGCAGGAATAGCTGGCATTTTAGAGGTGTTCTGCTGGAGCAATGTGGAAAGCTAACAGGGATCTCCAACAAGCTGGATGTGGTGTAAGAGTGTCACTTCCAGGTGACTGGTTTGGTGGGACATTGCGGGAAGGCAGAGAATCACTCTCTTGGGGGCAGGCAGGAGGTAGCAGTATGGCATAAGGAAAGTGGGAGAAAAGATGGAAAGAACAGCAGGGAGAGTAGAGGCGCTGCTGTAATTACAGCATCTTTTCAATGACACCTTGTTCAGTGCCTGTATGCTGTGGTGTTTCAGCATGTCTCAAGCAAAGAAGAACATAACACCATTTGGCTAGAGAAAGAGGAGGAGAGAAATTAATGTGAAAAGGTGAGCTGCCAGAAATAAGGTGAATCAGCAGCAGAAGGAAATATTTCTGCCAGGGTAAGTCAAACGTGAGGAATGGATCTCCTACAATTGCTAGGCAGGAAAGTACAATTTTCACAAAATCGCTATTGAGACTGGCACCAACTCTCCCTCTTGTGGACATTCCTCTATATTTTGTGCTGTGCCTTGCAGTTGCTGATGCTGCTCACAGCCATAAACCTCTGATGGTTTTATTGTAAACTGTAATGAGCTGGTAGGGTGAGATGGCCCTTAATAACTCATGTCTTAAATGTCTCTCTAAATTAGACCAAGACATGAGGCTAATAGGCAAAGCCAGGTCCTGGAGTTCCCTGGCGTTAGGTTCATTGCTCAGCAGACAAGGGGGATGTTTCTGTCAATAAAACAGAACAAAAACCGAGTAGGAAACAGATAACTCAGTGACTTCCTACACACTCCCTGGACATCTGACTGGCTGGACTTGACTTTTGTGCACTCCTCTCAGGTATCTTAAGTCCATTTTAGAAAAATCCATTTCTCGTTTTTCCACCTGAATTTCTATCCAACTCCCTCCTGTCCCCAGACACTCCCGCTCAGCTCAGGTTATGATCAGTGAGAGGTTTTTTTAATACTCTTTTTTTTTTTCCTCACAGAATATCTATTTGCTTTTTCACATCTATCTGCAGTCTCATTTCATGGAATCATGAAATCATTATGTTTGGAAAAGACCTTTGAGATCATCGAGGCTAACTGTATTTCTCCTAACTATTTGGCTTCTCCTCCTAACATTGCTTCTTGGCTTTTTTTTTTTTTTTGGTGTCTATATGTGTGATTTGGACTTTTTCTCCTCCAGCAAACAAGCTAGGCTGTAAGGGGGTCCAATGCACTGTTCACAGATCTGTAAACTGCAGATCTGCAAAAGTGCCAGGAAAAAAAAATACAGAAAGGAAAAAGAAAAAAGAATGAACCAGTGGCCTTTTGCTCAGGAGGACAATAAATCTAGTGTAATTGTGTTATTTGGCCCTTGCCGTAAACTCACAGACAGCCCTGGAAGAAGCTGACAACAAACCCCAGAGACGTAGCATGGAATTGCCTAGAGCAGAAAGCCGCCATGTGTGGCAAGGGCTCTGCAGCAGGGGACAAGGAAGGAAATGAAGGGGCTTCAGGCTAAGGCAGGCAATTTCCAGGCAGATGCTGCCACAGACCAGCTGGATTCGACCAGCTGAACCCCAGTACTGGAGCTCTTAGCTGAAGGAAGAAGATCAAAACATAAAACCACAGTGTCTGGGGAAATTGTAATTAAAAAGGCGCCAGAGGTGAGGGTCCCTGCATCAAAAAGAGATCTTCCAGAGAAATTGAGCTCTATTTTTATTGCTTTTTTTTTTTTCTTTTAAAGGCGCTTGAAGCAGTTTATGAAGGGTTTGGAAGTGATTACCAGATTTTTGGTTTCAACCATTGGTTAATCTGGTGCAGAGTCACAAAGTTAATAGTTTGTTTTTAACATCTTGTCCGAAGACAACAACTACATCTGAAATATGGTTTGGGAAAGGGAGCAAGCATAAGATAAAAAAATTATAAGCTCATGGAGAATTGCCTAAGGCTGTTAAACACAAATATGCAAGAATAACCTTGGGAAGTCCCTTACCCTCAAAGAGCTGCGATAGAGCAGCAGTTCTTGCTCGTTACACTCTTTTCCTGTGCATCTACCTTTGGATTCTGTTGGAGGAAGAGGTTTGATGGTCTTTCAACTACGCATGGATCTTGTACATTTAAGATGGCTACAAGTGAGATTTGCAAAGGTGCCCTACCTGGGACACATGCATATGCAACCTCAGGCCTCAGAGATGACTAGTCAAACTGAATGGTTAAGGAGGATACTGTGTTGTACTCACACAGTGGTTGTGCAGCACCAGGGAGCTTAGTGAAGGTGGCCTCTCCCAATACTTAATTTGTTGGGTAGGGCTTGCAGCCAGTATCAAACCCCACCACTGTGGCTGTCTTGCCTTGAGGACCCTAAAATGGACAAGTGAAAAAAAAAATCTGTATGAACAGCAAGGATAGTAATGAAAATGAAATAAAACTGCAAGCAGGAAGACATGAGGGAAGAGATACAGAACAGAGACCCCATCCCAAGTTCAGAGGTAAATACTCACCCATGGGCCAGGGCCAGCGTTGTGCTCAGGGTGTTCACCCAGTGTTGATCTGCTGTTTACATTTTGCTGAATATTTTTTCCTAGTGGGGTCAGTTTCCCTGAAGGTGTTCCCCATAAGAGTGATAGAGTATAGAAAACACTGGATTAGAAACTGCTTAAATTGGTGCTTCTTCTTAAAAGGGAAAAAAGATCTGATTTTTGCTGTCCTCCCTAAGGGAGATATTAGAATGATAATGCAAAATGGGACCATGAACTTTGAAAGTAGTCAACTTCAGCTGGAAGCAAGAAACTGTTGGAGCTCATTAAGAGCCACGTGTAAGCATCAGTAGAAATTAGGGGTAGATCTTGGCTTCCCCAGGGGCTCTCATCTTGCAGAAGCTCTGTGCTCTGTGGATTAGAGGCTGTTTTGCAGGAAAGGGGGAAAGATGTAAAGCTGTTTCTTCCCCTTTATCCTGGCAGAACTCAGGCGAAGGGAAACCCTAATTTGCACATGCCATGTCACTGCGTAGACGGTGCTGCCTTTGGTTGAAGAAGATGGCTTGATTTTTTATTTTTATTTTTATTTTTTGGCAGGGGCTGTGTATGTAAGTAGACCTGCCTCCCACTTTCCCCTGGCAGGATATATTGCTTTAGCTGTGTGAAAAAAAAAAATTGATCAAAGAACTGACCTATCTTTAAAATAAACTCACAAAAAGATAAACCAGATACTTTAAACCGAGGTAAGTTGCTTGATTCCAAATAATCGGAAGCCCTCATAAAGAGCTACACAAACATCATTAGGGGAGAGAGGCTCTGCTGGCATTGACTCCAAAGCCAACATAAAAATACATCATAGCACAGATTAAATTACACATTGGTAACTTGAGGACCACTTGCTTGCTCCATGGTCCCACTGGCACTGGGCAAGGCACTCTGTGGCTGTTATCTTTGCATTTTACCATGCGGAGATCATCTCTCCCACTGCCTCTGGGGACCTGGGGGGCCACAGCCGAGCTGGGCATTGTACTCTCATTAATACTCATCCTCAAGGGGCTGCTCAGAGGCTAAGAAGTTTTCATTATTAAGAGAGTTTAATCAACAGTCAGGGACTGCCAGCTCGGTAGAGGCTCCGCACATGTGCCTGTGAGCCTGATAAAGACACTTGCTTGCACAGTGGCTCAGCTTTGCCATCCAATTCGGCTCACTCCAGTCTGCTGTGCTGAGATTTTTGCCTTTGCACGAACCTGAGGGAGGTGGGCCTGAGCTCTGCTTCTGCAGCATCAGCCATGCCCAAAACATGCTCAGCATCCCCCCTTCCCCAAACACACATGTTCCCGAGGCCCAGGAGAAGATGGGCAAAAATCCTTCCTGGCCTAAGTTATGGGCTGGCAACAACCCTCCTTTCTTCAGCTGCCTGGATTTCAGTCTAACCTGGTTGTTAACGTCCAACCTCTGTCACACTGCAAATGTCTCTGCCCTGACTCCCTAGTCACAGCTCTGAGCTGCAGTTTGGGATGTCAGGCCGATGCACGATATCATATGAATGTTGATTGCTTGACTTTTTTGGCCTATGCAGGTTTCTGTGATAACTTTCCTTTTTCTATAGCTGCTTGCATTTTCCAGTTGTTCCCAGTCTCATTCTAGTTACAGTGTTTTTTTGGCGGTGAGGGATGAGGAAAGAATTCCCTGCTTGCTTTATTATTTCATGACTACCTTGGAGTCCTATTCGCCTGACGGGACAGCTACCTGTCACACTTACTTGGTGTCTTCCTCCTAGAGATCACCAGGTCTCCACGCTGCATCTGAAAAATAATTTCTTCCCTTTTATTCTGAGATGGGCAATATGTTAAATGCTGCCTGTTGTTTTTCCATCATACTTCTTCCTTTAATTGAACTCACAGTTTCCCATAGAAATCCTCTGCTATTTTCTTGTGCTCTGGTTTCCCAGCACTACAGTAAAGGCTGGTGTCCCCAGAGAGCACACACACGGCTTTGCAGACCATGTCACTTCTGTCCTTTGGCTTCTGCATAGGAGCCTAAATATTCTGGTCCTGGACTGCACCACTGCTTTCCTGTTTGTTCTTCCACTGAATCCAAGTGCTAGCATGCAATATACCTCCTGCTTACCCAAGGTAAATGTTGCATCCACCTGAAGTTCAGTGTTACATGCATCATGCATCAGGATGCAGGAGAATACCTAGATTATTGCATGAGAACTGTGGATCTGTTATGCGACAGCTCAGCATTAACCTCTGAACCTTCTGAAGAAAGAAAACATCTGAGTCTTACTGTTGCCTGCCTCATAGTCTCCAAAGTCCAGATCTGGTGAGTACTGAAGAAAAGGAAAAACTACTTTTGACATTATGGTGTAGGACTTGTTCCCTGAAAGAGTCTGTGCCAGTGAGAGGTGAGGAGTATAGCACAATTGTGCACAAATCCACAGCCCAAATCTTGTCTGGATGCTGAAATCTCTCCCTCCTGATACTTCCTTTTCCTTTTTGGCAACTGGCCCAGGTTGCTTCCCAGATGCTGAACTCTGTCATTGTCCAGGAGACTTGTCCTGCTTTGAGCAGTGTTTAAGAGCAAGGGGAAGAGAAGAAAGAGTAGAGAAGAGTAGGTGGCCACTGCCACCACTGATTACAGTTCTCCTTGTTTCCCACGAGAGGTAGATGATATGTAATGCATATGGTTTCACACAGTTTCTCATCTCATAGTCTTCGAAGGCCAATTCCTGTGTGCATTGAAGGCCGTGGTAGAGCTACAGCAAACCCAGTGCCTTGCTATGTCTGTAAGATGCAGTTGCTATTGCCTCCCTGGCTAGCCACCGCTGGTAGCCCAGCATCCTGACTGCTATGTGCACAGACAAAGCCACAGGCTCCTGAAAGAAAGTGCAAATGGATTCCTTAAAAAGAGCTGTAAATCACAAAAACACCATAGAAACCAAAGCTGAATTAGCAGAGACCAATCCCAGGAGCTTGCGGAGGGCCTGTTCCCCAGCATTATGCAATACATAATTATGTAATTCATAGTTATGTAACATGCCTGGATTTTTCTGAGAACTAGCCTTCCCACTGACTGCTCCCCTGGCAGACGAGTGTGTACCACAGTCACGCCGTGCTACACTGTACACAACGGCAGAGCTAGGGCTGTGGCTGTCACTCAGAGCCATGGACCTGTCAGCTGCTCCGATTCATTTCAGTGTATCGTGGGGAAAAGGTTCATTAAAATAAAAAGTTTTCAATCAAAAAATCTGTTCACTCCTTTGATCAGCAGTGATGTCTAAATAGACATGATAACTTGGGTTGTTGCTTTTTGAGGAAAATGCACCTCTTCTTGCAAGATCTCTCCCATCACCTCCAACAGTATTTTTCAGGAACATACTTCAACTGAAAACATGTCCATGATTTCTGCTAGTGTCTCTTTCTTGGGTACACCTTCCTCACATTCAG